GGCAGTGTTGAGTCTATGGTGCAGTGTTGAGTCTATGGTACAGTGTTGAGTCTATAGGGCAGTGTTGAGTCTATGGGGCAGTGTTGAGTCTATGGGCAGTGTTGAGTCTATGGTGCAGTGTTGAGTCTGTGGTGCAGTGTTGAGTCTATGGTGCAGTGTTGAGTCTATGGGCAGTGTTGAGTCTATGGTGCAGTGTTGAGTCTGTGGTGCAGTGTTGAGTCTATGGGCAGTGTTGAGTCTATGGGTAGTGTTGAGTCTATGGTGCAGTGTTGAGTCTATGGTGCAGTGTTGAGTCTATGGGCAGTGTTGAGTCTGTGGGCAGTGTTTAGTCTATGGTGCAGTGCTGAGTCTATTGTGCAGTGCTGAGTCTATGGTGCAGTATTGAGTCTATAGGGCAATTTTCAGTCTATGGGCAGTGTTGCGTCTATAGGTATTGTTGCGTCTATGGGGTAATATGTATGTAGAACTTCTTTCGCACCGTACGTAGCCAACCTTAGAGGTGCGTGAGAGCAAGGACAACAAACTAAACACGCACTATGCAACTCAATTATTCCACCCCTACTCGGGTTTAGCGATATCATTGCTTGCTCTCCCATTGTCTCTTTAACACTTCAAAACAGGTGCCATTGCCCGAAACGTCGTACATTGTTACACGTGGTTTGTTTGCCCCTTTGTTGTTGAGGGGTTAGCCTTATTGACCAGGACCGGTTCAAATAATCGTCACTGGGTGGTGTTGGCCGCGAGCGAGAGTCGAACTCGGGTCGACGGGTTCGTTGCGCAGCGCGCTAACCGCTGCACCACCGCTCCCCCACAGCAACAGCAACACACACACACACGCGCGCGCACATTCATAACATCCAAAACACACATCTCTCGCACACACACACACCTTACGCATGTACACATTACAACACACATCACACGCAGAAAAGACAAAGATCCCCCTTGTAGCCTTAACAGACTGTAGGGGCAAGTGCTGTTAGCGAGCACCTATGAAGGCCGGCACGGCACACGAGGGGATGGGTGGCAAGCACCACGCCCAGCCGCCTTTGTCTCTCTAGGTGGCGATGTTCACACATCGCACCAGGTACTTATTTGAGGCTGAGTCCACCTAGGGGAGCCCCAGGACCGGTTCAGATAATTGTCACTGATGTTGGCCGTGAGCGGAAATCGAACTCGGGTCGCCAGGTTCGTAGCGCAGCGTAGCGCTGACCGCTACACTACCGCCCCACACCAACATCACTACACATTACACACACCTTGCACAGATTTCACACACGCGTGGTGTGCACACCACTGCAAACTCTACACACACACACGCTACATACACACATACTGCACACACACGCTACATACACATACAACAACCACCATTCGCCACTAAGTAGCGGTGACGTCACCACCGCGCTTGTGCCAGGCTATGTGCACGTTAAGGCCACGTGAAGTGTCGAAAGCCCGCTAGCAGAAGGTCACGCGACAGACCCAGGTGCCATTGGTCAACTGAGATGAGTGGCCGATGCACCACCTGTGCCAACTTGCTGCGTTTTAGCCGCCCGACACTCCGCTCGTTGTTGTGAGCGTCGCGCCTCTGCCCTCCGTTGTTGCTGGAGGGCGACTGCCTCCAACTGCTCAGTAGCAGCGCCCTTCACGAGCCTCCTCCGCAGAGAACGATCTTGACACCGCTGGTACCAGTCATCGGCAAGTCCACTCAGCTCCACATCCTCATGTACCACATCACTCCATCTCTTCTCTAGCCCGTGCCGCGCCCGTTTAGCCCCCTCTATCCGGCCGAACAAAAGCTGTTTAGGCATGCGGTGGCTGGGCATGCGGTGGCTGGGCATGCGGTGGCTGGGCATGCGGTGGCTGGGCATGCGGTGGCTGGGCATGCGGTGGCTGGGCATACGGTGGCTGGGCATGCGGTGGCTGGGCATGCGGTGGCTGGGCATGCGGTGGCTGGGCATGCGGTGGCTGGGCATGCGGTGGCTGGGCATGCGGGCTACATGACCCAGCTAACGCAGCCTTGCCTGCCGGAGGTGCTCACCGATGGGACTTTGCCCAGATTGTTTGAGGATTTGTAAGCTCCTCACACAATGCAGCCTGGTTAAACCCGGGATGGATCGTGGGCAAGCCAGCCTAAATGTTTCTAACCGGCGGAGATGTTCCATTATGGCGGTCCACGTTTCGCAAGCGTAGCGAAGGGAGGGCATGACTTTGGCTGAGAAGACCTGAAGCTTCGTGCGGAGTCACAGACCAGGTAGCTTCCACACAGCGTTACGCAACCGATGAAAGATATTGCCGCTCGACTGATTCGGAGTGAGACCTCTGCTGTTAAACCGGAGCCGGTCAGGAGCACACTGCCCAGGTATGGGAAACTCTCCACAACTGCACACACACACTACATACACACACCCTGCACACACACACACTACATACACACACCCTGCACACACACGCGCATGACTGCTCCCTTGAGTGGCCCACACTGGGGCGAGCGGGCGTGAAGGTATGGGACAAATAGGGGGGGTGCGAGTGGTTGGTGTCACTCCGCCAACTCTGCCAACCAGGATGCACAACACAACAGGATACACAACACACATGATATCTGTGTGTGTGTGCATGTGTGTGTATTTGCGGTCGAGTAGCGGTTAGCGCTACGCTGCGAACCTGGCGAGCCGAGTTCGATTCCCGCTCACGGCCAACACCGGTGGCGATTATCTGAACCGGTCCCGGGCCTCCCCTAGGTCGACTCAGCCTCAAATGAGTACCCGGTGCGGTGTGCAAACATCGTCACTGGGGAGACAAAGGCGGCCGGGCATGGCTGCTGACCACCCACCCCCTCGTGTGCCGTGCCGGCCTTCATAGGTGCTCGCTAATAGCATTTGCCCCTACAGTCTGCTCAGGGTATACGGGGGATCTTTGTATTTGCGGTATTTGCTTTTTGCATTGAATGTGGCCTGACAGCTTTTAAGATTATGAATAAAGAAAAATAGAATACAACTGCAAAGTACATTGACAACCGATGTGTACGTGTTGTCAACTGCTCCAAAAATGATGTTAACTACCTCGCCTGGTATACAGGAGGTCGTGGGATCGATCCCGACCCTGACGATGCCTGCTGCTGCTGTATATTTGGACTTTGCATGTCGACGGTGGCTCGGAGATGTTAAGGGGCCGTGCATAAATGACGTCACGCGATTTAGGACGATTTTTGACCCCCCCCTCGTCACCCGGCGTCACAAAAAGTCAGACCCCCCCTCTCAAATATAACGTCACAAAGCTCTGCCCCCCCCCCCCCCAAAAAAAAATGCTTCAAATCGCTTTAAACTATTGTCATTGTAGTACGTATTTAATGTGGCGCTGCACTCTGATGTTGTAGGAGAAAACATTTATTAAAAAGTCTATTTAATTAAGTAGAACGTGTTGTCTACATTTTTTAAAAGTTGCGCATTTTGCTGTGACGTCACATTAATTAACCTCCCCCCCCTCGTCACACATCGTCACAAATGTCTGATCCCCCCCCCGCCTAGTTGCGTGACGTCATTTATGGATGGCCCCGAACTACCTTGCGTGGTATACAGGAAGCCGTGGGTTCAATCCCGACCCTGACGCCTGCTGTGTATTTGGAGTGTGCGTGTCTCTCCTCCCCCCACCACTTCCCCCCGTGTTCGCGTGGATTTTTCTCCGGGGTCGTCCGGTTTCTTCCCCTCTCACTCACATTTAGAATCAACATCGCGCGTGTTTGAGCGTCATTTGGCTACTGTTATAAATGTCCACACGACGACGATGCTGGGAGGCCCCACATCGCCGAGCTATATCACTTGCGATGGCCAGGCCGCTTCTGTCAATCTGTCGACAGCTCAGTGGGGACATTCCCTGGTGCTGTAATTAAAAAAATGGGGTTTTTTTGCGTCGTAAAAAAAATGTGATAAATAAAAGGGTGGCTGTGAGCATCGCTTCCTCAACTCTCCGGCGAAGCTGAAACGATCGCCCGTGGTGGCATCGTCACACACTCCCGCATTACGCCACGCGGCCCTGTGGCGGAGAGGGGGGGGGGGATCCTAACGACCGCAGATTTGTCCACAGCTCAAATGACGCGTGCGTGGCCTAACCCCCTAACCGTCTAACAACAACAACAACACAAATGCTGGAGAAGGAACAGCAGGGGCCACACGAACGCTCTCTCTCTCTGCTGCTGCTAAAGGCCTCTCGTTATGGCTAGCAGCAGCAGCAAAAGCACAATCTGGACTTCCACATTGAGCAGCATCGAGCTCCTGAGCCGCCTTGCCGCTGCTGCTGTTGCTGCCCGTCACGCGGCCAGGGTTTAGAACAGAACCACCGTCTCCTCTCCCCCCACCACCAAAAAATATACTCAATGACGAATTCAAAAAGATCGGCCCTGTTGTCCAAGCGTCCACCATCAATCACCGATGTATCTCTCTCTCTTCCTCACTCTTTTTTTTACGATCAGAGGAAACAAGAAGATGCTCGGTGTAGTCGGCACTTTGCTCCGTTCATCATTTCGTTTTTTTAGTTTTTTTAATGCTTTGCTTTATGTAAACCTCGCCCCCCCCCTTTTAATTGAAAGACCCAACATTTTTTTTCTGCTCTCCTTACCCCTTCCCTCTCTTTCTACCCCCCTCTCTGCCCCCCCTCTCTCTCTGCCCCCTCTCTTCCTACTCCATTTCGCTCTCTCTCGCTCACTCTCTCGCTCTCATAACTACGACAAGTGCTGCATCTGCACGCAGCCCTTCCCACAGTCAAACGGCCTCCGACGGGTAGCTCTTTCTCTCTGTCACACGGCCAATGTTTAGAACAGAGCCACCCTCCCTGCCGCCCTCCCACAAAAAAACAAAATCCAATCGCAAATTCAAAAAGATCGGCACCTTAATCCTCGCGTCGGCATCCACCACCAATAATCACCCATGTCTCTCTCATCTCTCTCTACCCTCTCTTCTCTCTCTCCGACAGCGCGCTGAGGCGCCAGGCCTCCCGGCGGGGCCATGGGGCCTCGGCCGTGGGGCAAACCCCCGGGGCGACGGCCGCCACCGCCGCCACGGCCGTCACGGCCACCACGGGCGGTGGCGGTGACGGTGGCGGTGGCGGTGGCGTTCCTGGCCCTGTTGGCCGGAGCCACGCCCACTCTGGCGGCTAGACCTCGGCACGCCGCCGTCGCAGCCGCGGCGCTGGCGTCTGTCCCGGCCGGGGGAGGAGGACGACGAGGGGGAGGAGGAGGAGGAGGAGTAGGGGACGAGGTTGGGAGGGTGGAGGAGGCGAAGGGCGCCCTCGCGCTGTGCCGACCGGCGCCCCCGTGGAGGGACGCGGACGGCGTCGACCCGATGGGGGACCACGCAGGCTGCGTGCGCGTCCTGGCGCTGCTGGCGGGAAGCTGCCGCCTTTGACGATCGCAGGCCGTGGAGTGAGTGCTCTTTGGTTCTATTCGGTAAAGTCACGTAGGTACAAATAAAAGAAGAAAAAAATCACGACGTTTGGGCCACAACACAAGTGGCCTTCATCAGGTGAAGGGACTGGACTGTCCAGAGGACAGCGTTGGAGTGAAGACAGCCAAGCCCAGGTCGCGTCCTTTAAGCTGTGTGGGAGGAAACATAAAACGCCTTGACAAAGGAATTAGCATAACAATGATGTACTGGACCGGCACGGTGGGGGGGAGTTTACATAATGTTGGTGTGAAGGGAAATAAGCTGCTGTGAAAGTTTGGGATACCACTACTTGAATAAATATACTGTACCATTGAAAACTAGTTTATTGTTTGGTTTGATTTAGAACATCTTTCCAATGATTTTCTTAATTTGAAACCATCCTCTCGGTTGAAATTATGTCTGTGTTTGTAAATCTGAATTGCCTCGTGGACAATCTCTGGAGTGAGTGGTGGTAGTGGCGCAATTGGGGGAGTCGGGGGAGTCGGGGGATACAAAGCAAAAAAAAACGATCTCCCCGTGTAGCCTTAACAGACTGTCGGGGCGAATGCTGTTAGCGAGCACCTATGAAGGCCGGCACGGCACACGAGGTGGTGGGTGGCCAGCACCACGCTCGGCCGCCTTTGTCTCCCCAGTTGCGATGGTCACATGCCGCACTAGGTACTCATTTAAGGCTGAGTCGACCTCGGGGAGGCTCAGGGCCGGTTCGGATATTTGTCCCTGGTGCTGGCCTTGCACGGGAATTGAACCCACGAAGGGGGCCGGGTTCGCAGCGCGCTAACCGCTACACCACTGCTCCCCAAACACACACACCCACACACGCACACATGTACACACACACACACGTGAACACACACCCGTGTACACGCGCACCTACACACGCGCACACCTACGCATGTACACACGCACGCGCATGCACACCCACACACACGGTACACCCACACACACGTACACACCTATGTACACCCACACACGTGCATACACACGTACGCGCACACGCACATCCACCCACGTACACCTACGCACGCGCGCCCACACGTACACCTACACACACGCGCCCACACGTACACACACGCGCGCACACTCGCACACGCAGGCTGGACAGGCTGCGCGCACGCCTGGACGCGCGCGGCCTGAGCGACGTGGCCTACGCGCTGCTCAGCGAGCACGGCCCTCACTCGCGCTCCTCCGCCCGCCGCCTGGCACGACGCCTCCCCTCCTCCGCCTCCTCGTCGTCGTCCGCGGTGACGGCCCACGCGCAGGCCTCGTCCGGGCCCGACCTGTGGACCCTGCTGGGCGGGCAGCGCAACGACATCCTCGTCTACGACAGGTCGAGGAGCCGGGGGTGGGGGGGCAAGGGGCGGGGGGGGGGCTCTCGATGGGCACACCGCGTCCAGTAATTACCGTGCACGTGCGCTGGTTGATTTGTCAACACATAGTGCCACCTGGGTCTGTCCCGTGAACCTCCTCCTCCTGCACCTAGCCTGGCACAGCAGTCAGCCCATGGCATCACCTGGGTCTGTCCCGTGACCTCCTCCTGCACCTAGCCTGGCACAGCAGTCAACCCATGGCATCACCTGCGTCTGTCCCGTGACCTCCTCCTGCACCTAGCCTGGCACAGCAGTCAACCCATGGCATCACCTGGGTCTGTCCCGTGACCTCCTCCTGCACCTAGCCTGGCACAGCAGTCAACCCATGGCATCACCTGGGTCTGTCCCGTGACCTCCACCTGCACCTAGCCTGGCACAGCAGTCAACCCATGGCATCACCTGGGTCTGTCCCGTGACCTCCTCCTGCACCTAGCCTGGCACAGCAGTCAACCATGTCCAGTTGGCCGCCGGGCCGAGTGTCCGTGAGTGTCACTGTCACGCCTGGTATGCCGCTATAAATGTCCACACGGTGATGATGCTGATGCAAAGCCCACTTCGTTGACCTGTCATTTGTGACGGCCAGGTTGCTTCTGAAAAAAAAAGAGCCACGCAGTTCAGTGGGGCCTGATTACCTGATAGCAAAAAAAAAAAACTAAGCTTAAATAGTTTAGAGTTGCTTTCATCTTGAGCGGCTCCGTCAAAGCGTCTCCCCCCTCGTGCGTCTCCTCCTCCTCCTCATCATCATCATCCACCTCCTCCCTCCCCCGTGCAGGTGCGGTCGCCTCACGGTGCGCCTCTCACTGCCCTACTCCTTCCTGGACTTCCCCTACGTGGAGTCGGCCATCGTGGCCACCCACACCAAGGAGGTGTGCGGGGCCTGCCCGACCAGCGGCGAGGCCCCCGGCAGCGCCGACACCGCCACCGCCGCCCCCGCTGTGAGTGCCGTCACCGCGATCGTTCCAGCCGAACGATTTATATATATATACGTTTTAATAATATTATTGTTTTCGCCTGCAGCCCGCGCGTCCCCGACGCGCAGGGTGGTAGCCGTCGTCGTAGAAGACGCATTCGTGAAAAGCGCAGCGCGCCGAGCGAAAACGACGTGCCTGTAAATAACGTAACAACGATAAAAGTTCGGCGAGAAGCGACGTCACTACCACGCACACCGCGCGGTTGAGGTGGCGTGGCAGGTAACTGAGGGTACACCGCCGCCGCCAGCACGTTACCGTGTTGTTCCGCGTGTACCGTTTTAAGAAAGTAGTTGTTGACCACTCAGAAACCGCGTTATCGCGGTCGTGTGAAAAGTAGTTCCCTAACGGGATGGATTACATCGCGTGAATATTGATGTGTCGTTAAAGCCGCCACCGCGGCCAATTTAGTGACGGGGTAGTGTCACGTAAACAAAATGTGCCCCAACTCGTTGCTGGTTCAGCACTAACCGGTTAAATTTTGATTTAAAGCTTTCGTGACTGCAGTAATTCATATTCTTAGTTTTTTCGGTAAAGTCACGTTGAAGAGAAACAACAAAATAATAAAATATATATAAAACAATAAAAAATTCTCACGACGTTTCGACCATAACTCAAACGGTCATCATCAGGTGACCTCAGGTGACCTGATGATGACCGTTTGAGTTATGGTCGAAACGTCGTGAGAATTTTTTATTGTTTTATATATATTTTGTTATTTTGTTGTTTCTCTTCAACGTGACTTTACCGAAAAAACTAAGAATACACTAACCGGTTGTCGCGCGTTGGAGAGTTAAACAGCATCTACGGTTCGAGTAACCGTGACGTTTCGCCGGTAATCACGACCACCACCAGCATCGTCACCGGAAGAAGGACCGGCATCACAGCGGGAAACGGGGAACGTGTCGCAGTCGCGAGTGCGAACACCGCAACCGGCGCTTATAAGCGAGGACTCGCGCCCGCGCACGGTAAATCGCTCGGTCGCCACGAACCTTCCCGCCCGCTCTGCCCCGGCCCCCCCCTCCAAAAAAAACCCGCAGGACGTCGCGAAGGTTCGCCCTGGCGACGGCGGCGGCGGAGGAGGTGGGGAGGGGCGGCCGGCGAGCGTGGACTACGACTGCAGAGACGACGACGACGACGACGACGACAAGAAAATCGAGGCGCACGGAGAAGAAGACGCCGAGACGCGCGGCAAGATCGACGCGCTGAGACGGCAGCTCAAGAAGTCAGAGCCGCCTCCAAACCACCACCACCACCACGGCCACGGCCACGGCCACCACCACGGTCACGGCGGCGCCGGCAGCGGTAGCCGGTGACCGCTGCTGCCCGGTCGCGTTCGTTTTGGCTACCGGTGAGCGATGGAGCGCGCGGGCGGCGGCGTCGGCGGTGGCGGCGGTGACGTCGCGTGACGGTGACACTGACGGACGTTCGGCCCGGCGGCCAAAGCACCGCCGGGCGACGACGGGGCCGGCGCCGCCGCAGTCGTCGCGAGCGTTAGCTGACGGTGCCTCGGGGCGACGCACCTGCCGGCGTCGTGCACGTGACGGGCCGGCGGCGGCGGCGGTGGCGGCGACATCGCCGCCACGGAGGAGGAGACGTGACAGTGACGGCCCCGGACGGCGGACGTCGACTGACGTCGGACGGACAAGTGGCTGCGGTCGTGACGCTGAGAGCCGGCGCCGGCCGCCGGGCGGAGCGAGTGACGGTGAGTCGCGGAGTGACGCGGCGCCGGCGGCGGCGGCGGCGGCGGCGGCGCCGCGCGGTGCTCCGAGTGACGGTGACGTTGCCGGGCGCCGGCAGCGCGGGACGAGGAGGCGGTGGAGGGAGGCGGCGCGGGCGACTGAAGGTGACCGGCGGGCGACTGACGCCCGCTGGCCGGCGACTGTAAGAAGGAATGAAAGGTGGCGACGAAGGGCTGACGGTGACTGACGAGTGACTGACGGGGAAGGAGGGACTGCAAGTGACTCACCAGTGAGTGACAGGCGGGAGTGAAGGACTGAAAGTGACTCACCAGTGAATGACAGGAGGGAGTGAAGGATTGAAAGTGACTTACCAGTGAATGACAGGAGGGAGTGAAGGAGTGAAAGTGACTCACCAGTGAGTGACAGGGGGGAGTGAAGGACTGAAAGTGACTCACCAGTGAATGACAGGCGGGAGTGAAGGACTGAAAGTGACTCACCAGTGAATGACAGGAGGGAGTGAAGGAGTGAAAGTGACTCACCAGTGAATGACAGGAGGGAGTGAAGGAGTGAAAGTGACTCACCAGTGAGTGACAGGAGGGAGTGAAGGATTGAAAGTGACTCACCAGTGAATGACAGGAGGGAGTGAAGGATTGAAAGTGACTTACCAGTGAATGACAGGAGGGAGTGAAGGAGTGAAAGTGACTCACCAGTGAATGACAGGGGGGAGTGAAGGACTGAAAGTGACTCACCAGTGAATGACAGGAGGGAGTGAAGGATTGAAAGTGACTCACCAGTGAATGACAGGAGGGAGTGAAGGATTGAAAGTGACTCACCAGTGAATGACAGGAGGGAGTGAAGGAGTGAAAGTGACTCACCAGTGAATGACAGGAGGGAGTAAAGGACTGAAAGTGACTCACCAGTGAATGACAGGAGGGAGTGAAGGACTGAAAGTGACTTACCAGTGAATGACAGGAGGGAGTGAAGGATTGAAAGTGACTCACCAGTGAATGACAGGAGGGAGTGAAGGAGTGAAAGTGACTCACCAGTGAATGACAGGAGGGAGTGAAGGAGTGAAAGTGACTCACCAGTGAATGACAGGAGGGAGTGAAGGAGTGAAAGTGACTCACCAGTGAATGACAGGAGGGAGTGAAGGAGTGAAAGTGACTTACCAGTGAATGACAGGAGGGAGTGAAGGAGTGAAAGTGACTCACCAGTGAATGACAGGAGGGAGTGAAGGATTCAAAGTGACTCACCAGTGAATGACAGGAGGGAGTGAAGGAGTGAAAGTGACTCACCAGTGAATGACAGGAGGGAGTGAAGGAGTGAAAGTGACTCACCAGTGAATGACAGGAGGGAGTGAAGGAGTGAAAGTGACTCACCAGTGAATGACAGGAGGGAGTGAAGGATTGAAAGTGACCCACCAGTGAATGACAGGAGGGAGTGAAGGAGTGAAAGTGACTCACCAGTGAATGACAGGAGGGAGTGAAGGATTGAAAGTGACTCACCAGTGAATGACAGGAGGGAGTGAAGGATTCAAAGTGACTCACCAGTGAGTGACAGGAGGGAGTGAAGGACTGAAAGTGACTCACCAGTGAATGACAGGAGGGAGTGAAGGATTGAAAGTGACTCACCAGTGAATGACAGGAGGGAGTGAAGGAGTGAAAGTGACTCACCAGTGAATGACAGGAGGGAGTGAAGGATTGAAAGTGACTCACCAGTGAGTGACAGGAGGGAGTGAAGGATTCAAAGTGACTCACCAGTGAATGACAGGAGGGAGTGAAGGAGTGAAAGTGACTCACCAGCGAATGACAGGAGGGAGTGAAGGAGTGAAAGTGACTCACTAGTGAATGACAGGAGGGAGTGAAGGAGTGAAAGTGACTCACCAGTGAATGACAGGAGGGAGTGAAGGAGTGAAAGTGACTCACCAGTGAATGACAGGAGGGAGTGAAGGAGTGAAAGTGACTCACCAGTGAGTGACAGGCGGGAGTGAAGGAGTGAAAGTGACTCACCAGTGAATGAAAGGAGGGAGTGAAGGAGTGAAAGTGACTCACCAGTGAATGACAGGAGGGAGTGAAGGACTGAAAGTGACTCACCAGTGAATGAAAGGAGGGAGTGAAGGCGTGAAAGTGACTCACCAGTGAATGAAAGGAGGGATTGAAGGACTGAAAGTGACTGACCAGTGAATGAAAGGAGGGAGTGAAGGACTGAAAATGACTCACCGCTGAATGAAAGGAGTAGACTAGTGAATGAAAGTGACTAACTAGTGAATAAAAGCGAGGAGCGGGCGAGGCTGTGGCCGGGGGAGGGTGGGGGGGTCACCCGGGTGACCCTGTGCCTGGGTGCTGGCCTCCGACCTCTGACCCCGAGCCCGTGGCGCCAGACAACTAAGCCGCCCCTCCGTTCTCTTTGAATCGGGCGAGATGTTAACTCCCTCGCCTGGCATGCAGGAGGTTGTGAGTTCGACCCCGACCCCTGACGGCAGACGCCTGCTGTATATTTGGAGTTTGCGTGTCTCTCTCTCTACCCACGTGGTCGCTTGGATTTTTCTTCCAGGGTCTTCGGGGTTTTTTTTACCCCCCCTCCCCCCATCCGCATTCGTAGAATCGACGTAAATTCGTTGGCGGGCTATCATTTATTTGACCCGGGAAGTCCCCACTTGAGCTACGCATAGCTCGTTTCTTCAGAGGCGAACTTGGCCAAGACACAAACGATCGCCCAGCGAAGCGGGCTCAATCGCTCGCGCGGAAATTCAGAGCGGCCGCCCGAATGCTCTCCGATGCTCTCCGCCGTCCATTCGGAACGTGGGAAGGCAACCGGAGGCAAATCCACACGTCCACGGGGCAGAGAGATCGATGGAGAGAGGCCAACGTCAGGTTGGGGTCGGGATCGAACCCAGAGGGAACCTCGTGCACACCAGGCGAGGGGAGATCGCATCTCGCCGCCGCTGCCGAGCGAATTCGCGAATGGGTTGGAACAAGCGGGATGACGGCCGGACGAGCGGACGGACGACTCAAAAGCTTGGGTGAAGTTTTTGGGAATTTATTTTTTTATTATTTTGCTGCCCCCATTCGGTTACCCGGGGTTAGCCCCCCCCCACTCCTTCATCCCCACCCCCCGCGGGGGTCGCGCACATGAAGGGGGGAGCAGAAACTACGCCGTAGGGGCTTTCGCTGGAACGGGGGAGCGGTCACGGCGGGGGTTGGTCTGTGGGAGGGGGGGGGGGGCGCCCTGGGTTATGGGCAGAGTGGTCGAGTAGGGCCACGCACACACACGTACACACACGTACACACACACGTACACACACGTGCACGCACACGTACACACACGTGCACGCACACGTACATGCACGTACGCATGTGCACGCACACATACATGCACGCACGCCCATACACACACGCATGAACACACTTACACATACACACACATACACTCACACACATACACTCGCACGCATATACACGCACGTGCACATACACGCAAGCACGCACGCCCATACACACACCCATACACACACGCACGTGCACGCACACACACGCACGCCCATACACAGACGCACGCACGCATACATACGCACACGTACTCACACGCACGTACACACACACATGCACGTACGCACGCGTACACACACATACACACACGCACGCGTACGCACACATACACACACACGCCTACATACATTCACGCACGCACGTACACACATACCTCACGCATATACACACGCACGTACACGCATGCAAGTACATACATACACTCATGCGTGTGCACACGTACACACACACGCACGCACATACACACCCGTCCATACGCACATGTACACACGCATACAACGGACACGCACACACAGTATGTGACCGAAGGTCGATCTGTTTTTTTATTTCTTAATGTTGATCTTGTTTCCTAGTTATAGTTCGCGCTGTCGGGTGCGAACCGTTACTCGTGTTGTGAGAGGCTGTCGTGGGGATTGTGTACACACACACACGCACACACGCAAGCGTCTCACCCGCACGCACCCGCGTGCACACGCACGCGCATACACAGACACACAAACCTGTACGTGTCACGCACGCACACTTGCCAGTGTCACGTGTACACACACACACGCGTACACACGGACACACAAACCCGCACGTGCCACAGACACATGCGTACACACACACGCGCGTACACACACACACGCGCGCACGACCGCTCCCCACGACAGCCCCGCGGACGACGCGACGCGTACAACTTGTTCTTAACTATCTCTCTCTCTAGTCTATGAAGTGGTTTAAACATTTAAAAATAAAATAAAACGATAATTGGCGATAACGACGGCTTTCTTCTCGCCCCCCCCACCCCCATCGTGGGGGTGGGGGGGTCACACCAAAATTGGGCGCGAGCCACGGCGGCTAGGAGATGTTAACTCCCTCGCCTGGCGTGCAGGAGGTCCGTGGCTTCGACGTTCGATTCCTGACCCCCCCACCCCTCCCCGCGAGACGTTGACCGCCCGCCTCCGGCCTGGGTTCGATCCCCGGCGTGTGGCGGGCGGCGGCGGCGGGGGGGGGGGCGAGAGGAACCGGTGAGAGGTAGCGCCGACACGTCGCGATCACGCGTGCCGAGGATGAACCCCCGAGCGGACGGTCGGACGGACGGACGGACGGACCAATCGACTGAACTTGACGGACCGAACGCTCGAGGTCGGGCGGGAGCGAGGGCGGAAGCGACGGCACCGGCGACCTCCCCACGTGCATGAAGGGCTCCCGGGAAAAGCGCGACCACGTTACCGGGACTCCGGATGGCGACGGGCGAATCGCGATGGGCTCGCCGTGCCGCCGCGTCCACCGAGGTTGTGGCGGTGGTGGGAGGGTGAGGTTAGGAGGGGGAGGGGTGGTGACGAGGGGACGCGTGTGGAGCCTCCCACCGCCGTGTGTGGTTGTGTGTGCGAGTGGTTGTTTGGACTGTGTCGGTGGGGAGGGGGCCTCAATAAAAGCGTGAGACGGCCGAGAGCTTTGGTTGAGCGCGTGTTTATTTCACGGCGCGCTGGCGTTGTTTGTTGGTGTTGTGTTGGTTGCGTTTTTTTGTTGTTGTTGTGTGTCCCTGTGCGGTCGTGTCGCGGTTAGCGTGCTGCGCAATGAACCTTGGCGAGCCGAGTTCGATTCCTGGTCACGGCCAACATCAGTGACGATTATCTGAACCGGTCCTGGGCCTCCCCTATGTCGACTCAGCCTCAAATAAATACCTGGTGCGGTGTGTGAACATCGCCACTAGGTATAGCCATGGAAAGCTTCTCGAACCACGTGGTCAAAGATGATGTTAAATAATGTGGGAGCCAGTGGACATCTCTGCCGCACCCCAAGGTAAATAGGCAATGGCTCCGACTCCTGGCCATGTAGCTCTACCCGGCCCTGCCCACCATCATGAAGGCCCTTTAATGATTGTGAGCAGAGAGTCAGGGACTCCGAAAGCACAAAGAATTGCCCACAACTGTGGCCTGTTGATGGTATCATAGGCCTTGACCAGGTCAATAAAGCAGAGGTGTGGGTCTAATTGGAATTCCCTACACCTCTGCTGTAGCAGATGGACAGTGAATATGGCTTCCGTGCGGGACCGCCCTGGTCTGAAACCACATTTGGGCTCCGCAAGCCTCTCCTCAACGTGCATGGGCAAGGCGATGTTGAATAAAGGACCTTTCCCGGCACAAGACTAGACACACACATATATAAAAACATTCATAAATGATAAAAAATGCATATATATCGATCTATATTTACATTCTGTAACCCCAAAAAAAATTCTTATGGAAGCACCCATATATATTTACGTAATCTAACACAAACCCCCCCCCCCTCTATTATGGATATCGGTCGCGAAAGACTAATATTACGTGTTTAAAATAGCTTCTTGTTTATGAATTCCTGGCTACCGATTGGCTGGTGGGGTGGGATGACTCGATCCGTATTCACCGCCTCTCGGCAGCAAGTTGAGATCACTCCACTAACGACACCACCCACTCCCCATATTTACAATCCCGATCTTACCGAACTATTAAGAGGAACCTATTACAAGCGTGGCACTTTAACACGAGTAGTAGTAGTAGGAGGCTTTCGCTACCAATATTACCCGCGAGGCTGCCGTTGGGTCAGATCGCGTGAATGTGTCATTAAACCCGCCACCACCTCCTGACACCGCCGGTTAGTAAGGGAGTTCGTGTCACGTCAACGAAACGTGGGCAATTCGTTACCGGTACAGGACTAATCGCTTGTGTGTTGGAGTGTAAAGCCACAACATCTCAAATCCGAGTACTCTCAAACACACAACCGACGTGCTGTACTAGCAACGAATTGGCAAGTTTTGTTAACGCGACACAAACCCCCTTACTAATAGGCTGTGTCGGGTGGTGGTAGCGGGTTTAACGGCACATTCACGCGAGTACTCACCGCGGCTCGGCAGCGAGTTAAGATCGCTCCACTAACGACACCACCCCCCACCATATTTTGACTTAGATCGAAGTAAATATGAGTCGTTAAACCACACCAAGATCAACCGACGCAGCCAATTGGTAAGGGGTTTGTGTCACGTAAACAAAACTTGCCAATTCGTTACGAGTTATCATCATGTGTGGCCTCTCAAAAAGAGTTGATAGTTCAGTGGGCTTCACTTGGTAAAATAAAAGCTTCAAGCGGTTTCGTTTTTAAATTCTTGTTTGCATCCGTGCTTTCGCTGTGCTTTCTAAACCATCGCAACTTTACACCGCACGACGCTCGCACGCCGTCATTTTAGCTCATTTCTCTTTATTTAACACACAATACATATACAATCAGACAAATTTACAAAGATTACAGCTCTTCATTTTACTCTTTTTAGAAAAAATATTGCAGAGCCACGGTCGCGTAAAAAAACGGCGGGTGGACTCAACGCCGTTCCTCCCAAAGCCCGCCGGGGGGTGCCGTCACGAGCCCAAAGTCCACCTCTCGCGTCAGCCACGTGGCTGACGCGGGAGTCCCCCCCCCCCCCCCCCCCCCCCCCCCCCCCCCGGCGCTGCTCGTTATCGGCTGACGGGTTTCACGACCGCTCCCGGCTCGAAGTACAAAATAAGGGGCGCTCCGAAAGTTACGCGTGCGGATCGCGTTGGCAGGCTTTCAAAGCTGTACGTTACGCTCGCTCGCTCGCTCGCCCGCCCGCCCGCCCGCCCGCCCACGTGCCTCGTCGCACGCGTCTTTGTGGGTTCGTTTCACGGGATACCTTGCGAGTTACACGCATTCACGCTTCTCGTTCGCTTATTCACGAAGCCGCAGGCGGAGGGCAGTCATAAGGTTGCGTCTCTCTCCGAGATGGATGTGTTTCCATGAACTTGCGGGCCCCCCCCGAGCCGCTTGGGGTCCTACAATTTCGCTTGGTTTGTCAGTACGGTACCCAGTGTGTCGCCCCTGGTGACGGACGGTGGTGCTGCCTGGTCATGGTCACGTGACCGAAACTAAACAAATGTTGGCATTTTTCTGACGGGAAAAAATAAAATCTGAGCTGACCCAGCAGATCAGATATGGGCGAGGTAGTAAACATCTCTCCACCGTGGCCGCCCCCCTCTTGCTATCACTCACCGGCGCTCAATAAAACACTCGCTCTTTCATTCGTCTCTTCCTTTTCGTTTTCTAGTGGCCACTCGCTCTATATCCCACTTTTGTTTCCGCACCATCATTCATTCTCATTCACTCTCCCCAGGCCTCATTCGCTCTCGTTCCATTTTCCCTCTCTCTCCCGTGTCACACTCAAAATACAACACACTCACCCCCCTCTCTTTCTCTCCCCCTCTTCCTCCGTGTTTCTCTGCTCACTCTTTAGCCGCGGCTGCCGCTGCTTGATTCGTTCATTCCCCCGCCTTCGCTCGCCGCGTCTCCTCCGTGCGGCCGTGCGGGCGATGTGGGCGGGAGATGCCGCGCGCCCACGATCACAAAGCCGGAGGCGACCTCCTCTACCACCGCCACGTCAACACCGGCGCCCTGCAACGAGACGGAGCAGCGCCACGCCATGAAGTCACACAGACACACAAAGACAAAGACCCCCCCCCCCCGCATAGCCTCAACAGATTGTTGGGGCAAGTGCTGTTAAAAGAGTGGTGGCACCTATGAAGGTCGGCACGGCAACACGAGGGTACGTGGGGGTGGCCAACACCGCCCAGGTACTCATTTGAGGCTGAATCGACCTAGGGGAGGCCCAGGACGAGCTCAGATATCCGTCACTGGTGTTGTTGGCCATGAGCGGGCATCGAACTCGGGTCGCCGGCTTCGTAGCGCAGCGTAGCGCTCACCCGCAACACTGCCCCGCTACACTAACGCTCACCCGCCAGTGTGGTGAAGTTTGGTCAAACAACGGCCAGCACGTTGTGGGGGCTGAGGTGTACGCGCGGCGGCAGCGGTGGATTGACAAAATGGCATATTATCATCGTCAGAAATATTAAATAAGTAATATTAAAAAAAAAAATTTAAACCACGCTTTCATGAAATGTACCGTACTAGTAACGGCAGAACTCCACGACTCCAGGAAGTGGCCCCGAAGCTTGCCATAACGTAAGGGAGCCGTGGTGATTTACAGCCAACGTTAGTTGAGCGTGGACAATTAGACCCAAGCCGAAACTTAACATATAAAAAATTATACATAAGTAAATTTTTTTAATGATAGAATATAGTATTGTCATCAGTATGACATAAGTATACCAAGTTTGTGGTCGATACCACATTGGGAAGTGGGTTAAAATTGAGTTACAAGATTTGAGGATACAACAGCGACAGACAGAGTGAGTTAATAAAAAGCGTGTAAAAATTGTCGCGTTTAATAGATATTTGTTGGGCAGTAATCGGAGCTGACAAAAGTTGCCAGTTGAGATGATTTCTCTTCTGTTGCTCCAGAGCCAGGGGTCGGCAACCTGTGGCTCGCGAGCCAGATGTGGCTCTTTTTGATGACTGCATCTGGCTCGCAAATAAATCTCAGCTGACATTACTTAACATGATACGACTTATAAGACTTATCATGTTAAGAAATGTCAGCTGAGATTTATTCGCGAGCCAGATGCAGTCATCAAAAAGAGCCACATCTGGCTCGCGAGCCGTAGGTTGCCGACCCCTGCTCCAGACGGACAGTTTATGAAACGGAAACCGCAAGGAGCTCCAGGGGACGGAGGGCGCTGTAACCAAACTCCGCGCGCTCGGCGCTCAAATTCTGCTCTGAGAGCACCGTACATGGCCGAGAGCGTTAATCGGAGGTGCATCGTCGAGTCTACGGGCAGTGTTGAGTCTGTGGGTAGTGTTGAGTCTACGGGCAGTGTTGAGTCTATGGTGCAGTGTTGAGTCTACGGGCAGTGTTGAGTCTATGGTGCAGTGTTGAGTCTATGGTGCAGTGTTGAGTCTATGGGCAATGTTGAGTCTATGGTGCAGTGTTGAGTCTATGGGTAGTGTTGAGTCTATGGTGCAGTGTTGAGTCTATGGGCAGTGTTGAGTCTATGGTGCAGTGTTGAGTCTATGGGTAGTGTTGAGTCTATGGGTAGTGTTGAGTCTATGATGCAGTGTTGAGTCTATGGGCAGTGTTGAGTCTACGGGCAGTGTTGAGTCTATGGTGCAGTGTTGAGTCTATGGGCAGTGTTGAGTCTATGGTGCAGTGTTGAGTCTACGGGCAGTGTTGAGTCTATGGTGCAGTGTTGAGTCTATGGGCAGTGTTGAGTCTATGGGCAGTGCTGAGTCTATGGGCAGTGTTGAGTCTATGGGTAGTGTTGAGTCTGTGGGCAGTGTTGAGTGTGTGGGCAGTGTTGAGTCTGTGGGCAGTGTTGAGTCTACGGACAGTGTTAGTCTATGGGCAGAATGTACGTGTGTATGTTGAACTTCTTTCGCACCGTACACAGCCAACCGTGCTAATCGGAGGTGCGAGGGGAAGGGCAACTAACCTTGAGCACAAAACAACAAAAATAAAAAAAACAATTACGCTCGTGAAGTAATTGGCAATTCGTAGCGAGCACACTATTGCACTGGCAGAAATTCATAATCGCAAATGTTTGTTTATATTGGACTGGCTTGACGACCTGGCTTCGCCCGGGACTTGGATCCTTATCTTGGATTAATTCAATATTCCCTGATATTTCGCTGAAAAACCCTGAAAAAAAGTTGATGCTTGCAAGAAAGAAAAAAGGCGAAACAAATCAATTTTACTAAATCGGATGTTTTTCACTGAAGGAAATGCAACCTTGACCCACTTATTCGTTAAGGTCGATTTAGGCAACTCGACGTGGCGAGCTGAACATTGTCGCGTTCCCTTAGAAATTCCAGACAGCAGAAGCTGTGCAAATTCCATCACGTCAGAGCTCAGCGTTCGAGAATTTTTGCTGCTTCACACAGATGCATTTTCTGCTTGATATTTAAGAGCGAGCTGAAAATAGTCGCGTTGACTCAGAAAATCGAGACGGCTACGCCGCGCATTTGTGCGGGATACACGGCCTACGCGGAGGGTTTGGGGGGGGGGGAATGCGTGACATCAGCAGGCACACTGCGCGACGCTGGCGCATGCGGGTAACATCAGAGATGTGACGTCACCGCTCACTTTCCGTGCAATATATTATATCCATTATTGCCCCCCCCCCCCCACCCCAAAATACAAAAGTCTATTTTTAGACTTTTTGCATTGTGTACAGTCTGGAAGCTACCCACATGCCAAATGTAAAGTTTGTAGCATGTTGGGAAGTATGCTAAACATTTCGAACACACATATTCACAAATTTTCCTTTATATATATAGAGGAGGAATCCGATCAGCCATGACAGATGTCCAGTAAGCGGGGGCACGGTGGGGGGTCAGAACGTTACAAATTTACCGTGGACAGCCAAGCCGGGTGTCACTCGAAAGCCGGGTGAGAAAGAGGCTGGGCGGGGGCGCTGCTTCAAGTGCCCCACCCCCCCCCTAAGAAAAGGTGCAAATTTAACGCCGGCCGCGATCGTGCAGATGGAGGTTGGCTGCCATGGAGGAGCGGTGCCTACGCCGGTGGAAGAATATCCCAGAGCAGGAACCCCCCCCACCCACACCACCTCCACCTCCTGGATGACCAAGAGAGACTCACTAATCCCTTGCTGATCTCGTCAAGGAGCGCAATTCACCATCGCGCAAACACCGCTCATCCTCGCAGCGGCAACGGCATTTGACCAACCACTTTGCCGTCGCGCGAGGGCGGTCGCGCTGCCGCCGTCGCCGCCGTCGCCGCCGTCGTCGCCGCCGTTGTCCCGTCGGCCCAGGGGTCGCCGGCGCGGGGGGCCGTTCTTGGGCTCCCCGAAGGTCACGGGGAGCCCAAGAGAGACGGGCTCCGTCTCCTGGACAGGCGCCGAGTAATTCACGGAGCGGAACGCGTCCGGCGCGGCATCGCCCACCTCCCCCCCGCCGCCGTCGTCAGCGCCCAGCGCTTCTGCCCCACCACCCGGCGGGTCCCTCGGTTCCATCCGTCGTTCCCTCTCTCTGCCTGGCCCATCCCGCAATTTTGCCGGTGCCTCTCTCAATTTAATCGGTGGTTCCCTGTTTCCATCCGGTGCTTCCCTCCCTCCGCCCACTGCTTCTTTCCCTCCGCCCACTGCTTCCCACTCTCCGCCCACGGATTCCCTCCCTTCACCCGGTTCTTCTCTTTTGCTGACATTTCTCCTCCGGAGCGCTGGCTGTCACATCATGGGGGTGGTGGCAGAGGGGGAGGGGGTAAGGGGGGTGGCAGAGGGGGCAGAGATTCAGGTGCAGTTTTCGAGCGGCTCCTTGCGTCTGCGACTGGACTGAGCGATTTAACTGCGGCCGACTATTTGAGTCATGAGTACATTTCGGGCTAGGTCACTGGCGTAGTGATGCCACATAGCTCAGTGGGGCCTCTCACCTGGCCAATGGAAATCAATTAGTCCCCAGTTCGCCGCCAATGAGAAGCTACAACCGTCTGTGAGACCACAAGCCAATCAGAACCACCAAATCTATCGGAACCAAGCTCGCAGCCAATCAACGGCTCGTTAACCTTAAGACTTAAGCGCGACCTGCGACTCGGTCACCTGCGGCTCCACGTCCTGCACGCGATCTCCTCCTCCTCCACCTCCTCCTCCGTCCGGTCGCTCTTCCTCATCCAACGGAGGCTCCTCCTCGGCCTCCGCCTGGGCCCCCGGGTCGCCCCTCGCGCCGATCTCCCGCTGCCGGGCCCTGCCCCCGGGTGCCGCCCTCAGCCTGGGCGGGGGCCGGCCCCCGAGCCTAGGCGCTCCTCTGGGCCCCTGCGGCTCCTCGTCCTCCAGCATGGGCAGCCTCACCCTGGGTTGCCCCCTGCCCTGAGCCATGCACCAGAACAAGCCCTGACAAAGACGACGACACACGCACGCGCACAGGTTTTAGATCAACGAAGCGTTCTTCGAAGAAAGGCCCGCAGAGAGGGGGCTAGTGGCCTCAGCCTTCCTGGTTGGCTTTTAGTGCAGCCCCTTCTGACGTGCGCCCCCACCGTTTCTCCGTGTCAACCAACCTCCGTCTGCACGAGCGCGGCCAGCGTTTCGACTGACCGTTAAAATGTTGACGTAACGGTCACGTTCACGTTATATGCGTGCGCGCGATAGCGCCAATTTCGGCCAATCCGAGAAGCTCGTTAAGTGGGGCCGAGCCACGCCCTTAGCCAATCGGCGACGCCAATTGGAAACGGCTAACAGTGGTTTTCGTGGAACGCATTAAAAACGTTAACCGAGGGACTACTGCGTAAACGAATATTAGTGATTCTGAATTTTTGGCGACGGTGCCGCCGCGTGTTTATTATTAATATTTATTTATAAATATATATTTTTTGCGAGCCGTACGGCGATGCAGGTCATGATGATGACGGTGGCCAGCAGCTGCAGGTGCAAGGGCAGGTTGCGGTAGGTGGCTCGCAAGAAGTCGCTCAGCGCCTGTCCAAAGTACTTGGCTGGCTCCAGCACAAACGTCACCAGCGTGACCATCAGAGCCTGCGCAGAGACAGAAGAGAGAATGGTCGGCGGCGCCAGCGCCGGATTTATTAGGGAGGGGCGGGGTGGGGGGGTATGATGAGCCACTTCGTTGAGCTATCGTTTTTGATGGTCAGGCCGCTTCTGAAAAAGAAGGTAATAGCTGAGTGGGCTTTATCTGGTTAAGATAAAAAAAAAAGTTTAGTTTTTTTTTTAGTAAAATGCTTTCCTATTCTTTGCACTCCCATTGTGTTTTTTTAATAATAGGTTTTCCCCTTTTTTCTGGCAACAAAACAGGTGTTAAGATGTTAAAACACCAAACTGAAACCTTTAACAAGGAATTATGTCTGCATTAACCACAATGCTTGTGGTCAGAATGCAAAAGGTTTCAGTTTGGTGTTTTAACATCTTAACACCTGTTTTGTGACCAGGAAAAAGGGGAAAAAGCTATTATCATATTTTGGTACTGGCAAAGGAGGTCCCATGATGTGCATTGTTTTGTATCATTCTTTTTTTGTATGTTGCAACGTGCTCACCCTGCCCCCACCCACAAATAAACATTCTCGATCCCGATTAATTCAGCGCAAACTGGGCCCACGTTAAACCACACGGGGGCACCCAACACAAACGAGCGGTAAACATTCCGACGATTCCGACGATGCCGATTGCGGTCGTCGCAGGGTGGGAGCTCACCTTGGTGGGCGGCACCTCCAAGAAGGGGTCCACGATGAGGTCACGGTGGTAGGCGAAGCAGGGGTCGTCTTGCAGCGTGAAGGTCTGGCGGCTCCACTCTGCGCGCATAGGGGTGTGGAGGGAAGGGAAGGGAGCGGAAACCCAAGGGTTCGGGCGAGAGGGTGATAGGGGGTGAGGGTGAGAGTAAGGGATGAGGGTTTGAGTTATGGTGAGAGGGTCCTCCCTCCCCCACCCCCCCACACCCGGTCCCACCACACCCGGTCTCACCACGTGCGTGCCCCCCCGCCCTTCCCGAACAATGCTGGGATCTCACCTGCGAGGCTGTCGAGCCAGCTCCTGGGCTCGCTGCCCGTGCACTGGGCCGGCGGGGGGTTCAAGATGAGCCGCGCCTGCCGCTCGGCAAACGCCACCTGCGGCGCGATGAGACGCGAGCGTCAAGGCCGGGCTTGAACGTCGCGGACCCGACCACCGCGTCCACCCGCCGTGGCCACCCCCAGCCTGACTCCCTCCCCTCACAGAGGAGGAGCGGGCCCCCCCCCCCGTGAAAGCAGATGCCCGCTCCTCCTCCGTACAGCTCACTTCTGCTCGCTCCCTTCTCTCTTCACTCCTCTCTTGGCCTGGTCATTCTCCTCCTGCCTCATTCTCCCCCTCTCTCATCCCCCCCCTTCCCGCCTCCTCCCTCATTATCTTCCTCCTCCTCATTCACCTCCGTTGCCCTCCTCCTCTTTGTCACTCACGGGGACTTCCATCCCTGCCCCCCCCTCCCACCCCCACCCGCTACCCTTCTGCGCAAGTGACTCTACTCTCCTTCCCGTGGTGAAACTTTTTTTAACCGAAAGCAAAGCATTATTGTAACTATCATTGTCATGCTCGCAGCAGCAGCAGCGGCTTTTGGGCGGCCGTCGAACATAGACGGTGGTCACCGCGCATCGCGCGGCACTTCCAGATGCGCTTCTGCGGCCGTCTGGAATGCTCTTCCATTCGATGTTAGGAAGGCACTGGAGCTATACACTTTTTAATCTTTCTTTAAATATAATTTCTTTAGAACTGTCCTTCCCCTCCTCCTGCATCTACCGATTAGCTATGGTTGGCTACGTACGATGCGAAAGAAGTTCAACGTATATACATACATCATCATTTGGATAGCATTAACAAACTAACAGATTCCGAAACGCAAGTGTGAACCGCCGCGCCGAGGGCAAACGACACCGCCTCGTCGTGCAATCGAGCCGGGCGGCGTCGGCACGGCTACCTTGTACAGGTGAAGCCAGGTCCAGGGGATGCTGAGGAAGAAGATGACCAGCATGAACCTCCACATCTGTGTCAGCCAGGACACGTAAGACCACAGCTCCGTGGCGACGATCATCACGACCGCCAGCAGCGCGACCAACACCTTCGCACGGCACGCGACGGGACGGCACACGGCAACTTAAGTGCAACGATCAAGCGTCGTCAATTTTTGGCAATGAGCGAACGCGAGCGAGCGTTCAAGGCGCGTTTTTTGTAAAAAGGCACAATGTGTGAATTGGACAAGGTTCATGAGGAATTTAATTAGGGCTGCGCGGTGGCTATGAGACGTTAACTACCTTGCCTGGTATGCAGAAGGTCGTGGGTTTGACCCCGACACCTGCTCTACATTTGGAGTTTGCGTGCCTCTCTCCTCGTGGTCGTGTGGATTTTTCTCTGGGTCCTCTTGTTTTCCCCTTCACATTTAAAATCGATGTGCGTCTCGAGTATCTGGCTACTGCTATAAATGTCCACGTGTTAAGCCGCTTCGGTGAGCTATCATTTGTGGCCAGGTTGTTTCTGAAAAAGAGCTATACAGCTCAGTGGGCCTTACCTGGTAAAATAACAAAAAATTGTTTCAATCATTTAGTTTTATTATCGTTATGCGTGTTTACCCAGGAACGACTCGCCCGAGTCTCATGACTGTAGAGCGATCAACAGCAGTTAATTATTTCGTGTGACATTTATTTAATCATAATAATAATGATTTACATTTGTAAGGCGCATTTAATTCGTTGATCCCACCAATGCGCCACCGGGTATTGAGAGCAGCAAATAAACAGAACCAGCTGGGTAAATGGCGAGAAATAGGCGGGGGCTAAAGGCCAATTTACCCACTCACTCACTCAATCGCTCACTCATTCACTCACCCACTCACGTACTCATCAACCAGCTGGGTAAACGGCCAGCATTAGATAGGGGGGGGGGGGAGGTGTGTGAAGGCCAATTTAAAGAGGTGATTATTCAAGACGAAACTTAAATATAGCTAACACGACTGTCTTCTCAGCAAAGGCGCAAGTGTTGTTCCAAAGTTGGGAAGCTGCACCCTCTCATTCTAGACTCACTCAACCGCGATCGCCTCTCCTGCCAACGCTCTCTCCCTCGCTCTCTTTCATCCTCACTCTCGTTCTCTCTCTAACTCGCCCCCCCCACCAACCTCCCCCCCTCTTCCCCCCCCCGCCCCCCGGGTCGCCTCACCCACGCGACGGTAGCCGCCTCCACTCCGAAGCTGTTGGCGAAGCTCCAGAGCCAGCGCTGGGGGTCGTGCTGGCGCAGACGCACGGGCGCCCTCTCCAGCAGCGCCGAGACGGCGTGCGCCGGGAACTCCCCGCTGGCGGTGGCGGTGGCCCCGCCGTTGGACTCGAGGGTGAAGGCGGCCAGCGCGTGCATGTCCTCCAGACGCACCTCGAAGTGCCCGTCGTAGTGCAGCTCCGGCTCCGAGTCGCTGGGCTGTGCCCGGAGCGCCGACGCGAGAATCGGCCCGCAAGCGCGGGGGGGCGGAGATAGAGGGGGATTGTTAAGTTTGGTTGGTTGGTTGGTTAGTTAGCGAGTTAGTTAGTTAGTTACGGAGGGTGCGAGGTGGAGGGTTGCGGGGAGGCGGTTCGTTAATTTTAGTTTAGTTAGTCATGGAGGGTGCAGGGAGGGGATCGTTAGTTAAGGAGTGTGCGGGTGGGGGTGGGGGGATGTCATTTATTAGTTAGGGAGGGTACGTTGCGGTTCGCTAGATATTTCATTACGCAGGGTACGAAGGGAATCGTTAGGGAGAGTGCTGTGGGGGGGTGGATAATTAATGAGTTAGGGAGGGTGCGGGGAGGTTCGTGAGTCTAGTTACTTAGTTACGCAGGGTCGCGGCACAATTAGAGCCCCTTAGCGGCTTCGTCCACGGCCGTGCGTCCACGGCTGAGCGATCGGTTGCGCAGCACAAGGACTTCCGTCGTCTCTGGTGGCGGTGCCCACGCTCTTTACAGCAGTCTCACCGTTTTTCAACGGTTTCACTTAACTTGGTTCCTCTGTTTGTCTGTGTCAAATCTTGTAATCAAAATTTCGTCTACTTCCCGTTGTCCAATCAATTCCACGTTTTGCACACGTACTCGGATTCGGTGACACTGCATGCCTGTATCAAAATCGGCATCAATTAATTCGCTACTTTAAAGCAATTCACATGTTGTATGGACACCTTACTATTTATATATATATATTTGTGTGTAGGTCAAAAACGCCGCGGTCCCTAAACTCTGGAATCGGCTCGCACAAAAAGCAAGCGCCGCGTATCTCAGGCGCCACTGACGTACTTCTCGACCGCGAGTTAAACGAAGTTGTTAATAAAACCGTTGTTTAAAAAAAAAAAACTTCTTTTAAACGAGTTTATTTTCAGTTGTCTCCATCCTCCCCCCTCCACCCCCAGCTCCACCCCCCCCCCCTCTACTCTCTCCACCCCCACCCCCCCTCCGCCGGAAAGCCGTGCCTCACCTGACCGACGCGCGCGATCTCCTTGAGCAGGCGGCGCAGGTAGCGAGTGAGCGTGGAGCGGGCGCGGCTGTCCGGGTCCGGCGCGCGCTGCCCACGGCACTCGTGCAGCTGGGGCACGGGCGGGGCACGCGGGGGAGGGAAAGACGTGCGCCGCTTAATCACGGGTTCACTCACTCGTTCGTCACGCGCAAGTCGGCGAACGACCGTTGCGTCCAGGTGTGACCTCGAGCGACAGCCATTGGCAAACAAAAATCTGCTCTTGCTGCCGTAACCGGTATAGGTGTCTCGACTGATTTGTTTGCTCCGCGGATCACGGGGGCGGGGGTCGGGGGTCGGGGGTCGGGGGTCGGGGGCGGGAGTTTGCGCATCAAGAAAGGGGAGGGGGGGGGAGACCCTAGGCCTGTGTATGCGGTGAATCTTTAAGGCAGTGGTTCTTAACCTATACTGCAGCCTTGCACCCCTTTTGGTTCTCAATCGTAGAAAAAAGTCTAATTTTAAAAAAATACGTAGGGTTTGATGAAACAAAGTAGTAGTTGCTTATGTGCCCGTGCTTAGTTTGTGTTTCGATGATTTACCTACTAAAAGAATCTGGCCACGTCTCGCATCCCCCAGGAGGTGCGTGCACCCCAGGTTAAGAAGAACCACTGCTCTAAGGACTGAAGTGCGGCTCTTGGTAAAAAAAAAAACAAGGCTCTTCTTGTGAATTTGGTTTCCGACCCCTGACCTTAAAAGTCCAGTTCACTATCGAAGTCCGGTGTGCCATGGACAGCGGTCTGCAAACCTGCGGCTCTTGAGAGCCGCGTGCGGCTTACATTATCTATAATCATTATCTATCAAGGACCACCGACTCGTATTCACGTGCGTTGCGGCTCTCAAAGTGTCCATTTTTTTACCGAATTCGAAGAAATAAATACGGCTCCTCTTGTTGTTTCGATTGCCGACCCCCACCCCTCCCAACCTTGCCTTAGGCGGTCGCAGATGCGACGGTGACGTTTCTGACCAAGCCAAAGCATCGGACGTCTTTGGGAATGAACCGCGGGTCGGAAAGGAGGCGTGCACTCACTTCGTTATGGCATCGCTTGTCCTCGTCCGCCGCGCTCGTCTGGGCGAGGCAGGAGGACAGCTCGTCCACCACGGAGAGCAACTCGTCCTGGAGCTTCTGCAGCACCTCGTCCTTGGCCTGCAAGAGCACAGAGGCCTCCAGCACCTCCCTCACCACCTCCCTCAGCACCTCCTCAACACCTCCCTAGCACCTCGCTCAGCACCTCCCTCACCACCTCCTCACCACCTCCCTAGCACCTCCCTCAGCACCTCCCTCACAACACCTCCCTAGCACCTCCCTCACCACCTCCCTCAGCACCTCCCTAGCACCTCCCTCAGCACCTCCTCAGCACCTCCCTCGCCACCTCTTCAGCACCTCCCTCAGAACCCGCCTCAGCACCTCAGCACCTCCCTCAGCACCTCCTCAGCACCTCCTCAGCACCTCCCTCGCCACCTCTTCAGCACCTCCCTCAGAACCCGCCTCAGCACCTCAGCACCTCCCTCAGCACCTCCCTCACCACCTCACCACCTCCCTCACCACCTCCTCAGGACCTCCCTCAGAACCTCCTCAGCACCTCCTCAGCACCTCCCTCACAACACCTCCCTCAGCACCTCCCTCAGCACCTCCCTCAGCACCTCCCTCACCACCTCCTCAGCACCTCCCTCAGAACCTCCTCAGCACCTCCTTCACAACACCTCCCACACCACCTCCCTCAGCACCTCCTCAGCACCTCCCTCACCACCTCTTCAGCACCTCCCTCAGAACCCGCCTCAGCACCTCACCACCTCCCTCAGCATCTCCCTTACAACCCTCCACCCACCTTCCTCAAGCACCGTGACGATCCTCAACACCTCCTCGAATACCCAGCACCGCCTCGTCGTCAAAACCTTACGACACCCCCTTCCCCACCCCCACCAACCCCGCACCAGGCCAGTGGGGACCCTGACCTGCGCGGTGCCCGCCGTCTTGCCATCTCCACGGCGCATGGTGCGCGTGGTGGGGTTGTAGTTGACCATGTCCATGGGGTCCAGCCAGTCGTCGGGATAAGGAGGATCGGCCGCCACGCTCACCCCGCACGCGCACGCCAGCACGACGCACGAGGCGGTCAGCAGCAGCCACATGGCCCTCGCCATCTTCCGCCCCCCCATCCCCCTGTGAGAGTAAATGTTTGTTATTTATTTTCAACTTTTGTTCCAGGCAAGGCACCACTGAGCTATATAGCTTTTTTTTCTTTCCAGAAACGACCTGGCCACAAGTGATAGCGCGAGGAAAGCGGCTTATCATCGCGTGGCAATGTATAGCAGGAAAATCATCTGAACGCCCGTTTCTAAATGTGGAGGACAAATACTGGGAAAATTCAAACCCACGACCTCCTGTATACCATGCGAGGTAGTGCACGCGTCACCACCGCGGGGCATGCTAGGAGAGTGAGAGTGACACGTGCGACACGTTACAGGCGGGCACAAAGGTCGGCTGGCAGGCAGGCACGTTGGTAACTCTCGTCCCTCGCAGCAAGAAAGGCCTGGATTCGATTCACGATTCCCGACCAGGGCTACTTTGCTATGTGGGGTGCCGCGGTGATGATCCCTACCCTGACGACCCTGCTGTATATTTGGAATTTGCGTCTCTCTCTCTCTCTCTCCCCCGTGGTCGCGATTTTTCTCCGGGTCCTCCGGTTTTACCCTCCACATTTAGAAACATGGGTTTAGAGTATTTGGCTGCTATAAATCTTCACATAAGCCACTTTGTGAAGCTATCATTTGTGGCCAGATCGCTTCTGAAAAAGAGCTACATAGCTCAGGGGGCCTTACCTGGTAAAAAAATAAAAAAGTTGACTTGTTTTAAGTTAATAAATAGGTCAAACCCGGTCTAGAGTTGACTTCCTTCGACAGAAGCTGCTGAATAGTATTGTATTGGTCTGGAAAGCCATTAGGCTGTTGGACTAAAACATATCTAAATTTAGACTTCACGAGCAGCGCGCGTATTTTGTAATTGACAGTCCGTCCGGATATGACGTCCTGCCAGCCAGCAAAACTTAAAAAAACACCGCATAGAATGTGGAGATACACAATTAAGTCCTGCTATTTGCTTCATAAATGCCATTTGCTTGGTCCTATCTACGCTCCCAGTGGCTACGGTCCCCGCCTTCATCAACCCACGTAGACCAGCGTGGTGAAGTATGGTCAAATAACACCCCACGAACTCGTGTCAGCACTGGATTTAAGGGGGGGGTTGTGGGTTTGTGTGGCCAAGCCTAGCAGTGGATAGACCATGGAGGGGGGGGGGAAGCTGATGACTGGGATTTTTTGCACACAGCGTTGGTGTACGGTGCTATTTCAGGAATATTTTGATGTTTTTTTTCCTGGATTTTCTGTTTGCACAGTCACGTAGTCACTTTAAGATGTTGTTCTTGTTCATGTTTTTTGTTTGTTGCGGTTGCACCCGATTCAAGAGCCGAATGAGCTCACAGGGCTATACCAAAATAAATGGAAACTATGAAACTATGATTCGGGGCCTACCGGTAAGAGGAAAGCCTCTTGCCCGCTAACCCGAACGCCTGCCGATTCGCCTCACGTTTAAAAATAAAATTAAAAAAGCAGCGACAGCAGCAATAGTCGACAACAGCAGATACCAACAATAATCATCTTAATAATGAGAACAATAATGAGAAATGACAACATCGTTAACATCTCGCGGGGGGGAGGGGGGTTAACTCACCAACAACTCCGTACGGCTGAGCCAGATCGTGACGTCATGGGGATGGGGGGGGGGGAATTATCCGTGACGTCATTGTTGAGCTTCGATGTAGCTTGAAATTGTGTCGAGATACGATGGAGCTCGCGATTACGTCATTGTCGAGCTACGATGGCGCTTGCGAAGACGTCATAGCTGAGCTGGAATGTCGCTCGCAATGACGTCATTGTTGAGCTACAATGGAGTTTTAAATGACGTTATTGTCGAGATACAATGTAGCTCGCAATGGAGTAATTGTTGAGTTACAATGCAGCTCGCCATGACGTCATTTTTGACCTACAATTTAGCTCTCCCCTTATGAATTCCTGCAGTCACGACAGCTTTAAGTCAATATACGCTCCCACTCCCCTACTCCTGACGCGGTTGTCTGGGCTTGGGGGCCGTCCATGAATGACGTCACGCACTTGGGGGGGGGGATCAGACATTTGTGACGATGTGTGACGAGGGGGGGGGTTTGAGAAATGTGACGTCACATCAAAATGCGCAACTTTAAATAAATATAGACAACATGTTCTACTTAATTAAATAGACTTATTTAAATTAAATGTTTTCTCCTACAGCATCGAGTGCGGCACCACATTAAATAAGCACTAGAATGACAATAGTTTAAAGCGATTTGAAGCATGTTTTATTTTTTTTTGGGGGGGCAGAGCTTTGTGACGTCATATTTGAGGGGGGGGGGGTCTGACTTTTTGTGACGCCGTGTGACGAGGGGGGGAGTGGGGTCAAAAATCGTCCAAAATCATGTGACGTCATTTACGGACCGCCCCTTGGACCCACCTAAATGTTAAATCGTGGTCGTTGCTCTGCATCATCTACATCGGCAGCCGTACGACAAGAAGACTAAAGCGAAGACGATAATTATGGTTGGTGGGGGGCGCATTCGATTTGTCCGAGTAGTCGTCTGTCGTCACAGAGCTCATTGTGAGATCTCTTCACGTGACTTCACATCCATCCGCACCAGGGGGCGCCACTTGCCCGCACGTGGCCCGCCCGCCCTTCCACGGAGAGTCAATGCGCACGGCTCGTCGGACGATCAGTCAATCCGATTATGATTTTTTTTTTGTTCAAATTCGCAGAAGCTGGAATTTTGCCCATTGCACATGATGGGCTTTGTGTGTGTGCTTGTGTGTATGTGTGGGGAGCGGTCGTGCAGCGGTTAGCGCGCTGCGCTACGAACCCGGCGACCCTGGTTCAATTTCCCGCTCTCGGCCAACAACGGTGACGATTATCTGACAAAGGCGAGCGGGCGTGGTTTTGGCCACCCACCCCCTCGTGTGCCTTTACCATCTTTCATAGTTGCTCGCTAACAGCACTTGCCCCAACCGTCTGTTCAGGCTATACGGCAAGGGATTTTTGTTTTGTGATGTGGAGAGCAGTGGCGTAGCGGTTAGCGTGCTGCGCTACGAACCCATCGACCCGAGTTCGGTTCTCGCTCACGACTCAGGCTAAGTGAGTAGCACGGACTGGGTAAAAAAAAAAATGACTGCCGCGGGACAGGAGTAAGTGGAGCTGAGTGTACTTCCTGAGTGGATGGGCGAGTGAGTTGGTGGGTGAGTGAGTGGGTGGGTGAGTTGCACGGCTAAAAGAAGAGATGGACTAATGCGGTCCAGACGGATGTGGCGTTGAGTAGACTTGCCAATGACTGATGCCAGCGGTGTGAGGATCGACCTCTGTGGAGGAGGAGGCTCGTGAAGGACGCATGGGGAGGCAGTCGCCCTCCAACAACAGTGGAGGGCAAAGGAGCGACGCTCACAACAATAAGCGGAGCACCGGGTGGCTAAAACGCATCAAGTTGGCAAGGTGGAGGGCACAGGTGGTGCATCTGCCAGTCATCTCAGTCAGTCAACCCATTGCACCTGGATCTGTCCCGTGAACTCCTACCAGCAACAAAAGCCTTCGAAACTTCACGTGACGGCCTCAAAGTGCACCTAGCCTGGCACAGGTGCGCTGGTGACGTTACTGCCATTTCGTGGCGAACGGCGCTCGTTTTGCTGTTATTGCTATTGTAGTAGTCATTGGTAAACTGGGCAGTAATAATTGTGCCGCGGTGGCGAGATGTTATCTCCCTCACCTCGTATGCAGGAGGTCGTGGGTTTGTTTAACACGTAGGCTTTCGCGACCAATATCATCCATAATACAGTAGAGTTTTTTTTGGTTAGATGTCGTGGGTTTGGTCCCGACCCTGACGCCTGTTGAAGATTTGAAGTTTGTGTGTGTCTCTTTCTCCCCGTGGTCGTGTGGATCTCATCTCCGGGTCCTCCCGTTGTTTTCCCCCTCCACATTTAAGCCCCACTTCATTGAGCTGTCATTTGTGGCCAGGACGCTGCTGACAAAGACGAGCCATATAGCTCTCAGCGGGGGCTTTTTACCTCGGTAAAATAAAATAGTTTAGTTTTAGCTTACCAATCGCTTACCACTGGCGATATAACGATATGGAGTCTGGCCCTCTGACCGCCACGTGGTTCGCTCCCATTAAGGGACAGAAAGGATGAGATTTCAGAGTGATTCAATTCCAAAGAAATTCGACCGTGTTCTCTGGTGCCGGTGATAATTCAGGAAGGTAATAGACCACCCTCCCTCCCCTCTATCGGCTGTTGGGGAGGGATCGCTGTGTGTTATGGGTGGTGGTTTTAGGGCGCCACGGTGGCGAGACGTTAACTACATCGCCTGGTATACAGGAGGTCGTGGGTTCGATCCCGATGAAGATGATGCCTGCTGTATATTTGGGGTGTGCAGTGTGTCTATTTCGCACTCTCTCTCCCCGTGATCGCGTGGTTTGCTGTCCTTACCCGGCAGCTCCAATTAGCACGGTTGGCTACGTACGGCGTGAAAGAAGTTCAACATGCGGTACATTACGACCGAGATAACAGACCACTCACCTAACACAAGTGTACGGTCAGACAAACAATCAGGAAGTAGGCCAAGGCCTCCCATTGGTGCAGAGAGGCCTCCAGAGTGATTGGTCGGGAGGTCGAGATTAAAAGGGATTGGAGGAGAGATGTGAAAGGTATAAAGGCGGGAAAAGCAAGGGGTGGAGTGTCGAAGGACAGTTGAGAACCGTTGGTGGGGAAGGGTCAGGATTGGCCGAAGGGAGTGGGGATGATAGAAGCTTCTAGAGGTGGGGGGGGGCTTGGGAGGTATAAAAGGAGACAAGCACAGGGAGAGGGAATGTTCGAGAGGGAGACGGAGCTAAATCCTCAGGAACCAGAGCCCTGGGCATCGTTAGTGGTGTGTCTGGATAAAAGGCCCTTCAAAAGTCGCAACGTGTGTCAGCGTCACTACACGTACGATAAAATATCAGCGCGCCCCAATTATTTTTGCTTAGCGGCAGCGACGGCAACATTCTCCACGCAAATTCATCTTTTATTTTTTTAAACCTCTTCTTTGAAATTCTTCACAAACGCGTTGGGGTAGCGGAGTGCTTGAAAGCAATAGTCAAATCGCAAAATCATCATCATCATTGCAGAAGACGGGTTTAATAAGCACATGAAATTAACAATAACCGTGCACACGTGAATGTTTTCCGCCGTGTAGTTGATTATTTGCCTTCTATGGGCTCATCAATTATGGGATTATGAGAGGCCTGGGCTTTTTTTTGCGTTTAACGAGTTCCACATTTATAGACGCTTGCATTGCCTGGGGCTTTCCGGTCCCCAAATCCCCCAAACTCTCCAGCCCAGGATCAGAATCTTGATTCGTCCTGTCAATGTGTGCGCCCACCTTCGGTTGGGCGGTTCGACAATCGACCGCGACCCTCAAAGTGACAAAATTCAGTCTCGGCCAGCACATGGTGCTGTAGTGTCCTCCTTGGTGTGTGTGTGTCGCGCACACTCAGTCGGAGACGAGGTAGTTGCAGGAGGCACCTTCTCTCTCTCTTTACTTCCGTTACACCAACTCCGGCCTCCTTTCTCGACCACGTTGCCGTGCAGCCCAGCCCAGACACAACCCTGACCGCGTTGCACCGACGGCGTCGACCGAAAGGGCCAACTACTGTCCAGCCGCGGAATTATCGGGCGAAGGCGGCGGCGATGAAGGCGGCGACGATGACGGCGACGACGATACGAGTCCACTCCCAGAACCGGCAGCCCGGAGCTCTCGCTCTCCGTTGCTTTTATCCTACTCGGCGCGGCCTGGCTCCGCCCTGGCCGCGCCTCCCTTCTCGAACCCACCAGAGGGTTCCAGGGGCCTCCCAATAAGGTCTTCCGTAACCCTTGCCCCAGTTCCTCTGCCCTGCCGGCACACACACCGTGTATATGCTCGACGGCGTGTGCGCTACCTGCCCACTGCAGTTGCCGCTGCTGGACAGCAGTCGGCGCTGTGTCACTACATATGTGTATGTATGTACTGTGTGTTGAACTTCTTTCGTACCGTACGTAGCCGACCGTGCCAATTGAAGGTGTGGGAAGAAGGGACATTGCTCGAAACGTCGCCTATTATTATTAATTTACACTTCTACAGCGCCTTCCACCCGGAGGTCACAAGGCCACTTTTCCTTGGAATACAAAGACCCCCCCCCCCCCCCCATTAACATCCTTGGGATTGTTGGGGCAAGTGCTGTTAGCGAATAGCACCTATGAAGGCTGGCACGGGAATACGAAGGTGGGCCGTGAGGGGGCCTTGATAATTACATCTGGAGAGGGTGGGAAGGGTTGGGACTCATTTAAACGTCTCCATTAAGTTAATGCGCCCATTTAAAGTATGGATTTTGGGTTTGGGGATAATGGTGGCATTTAGAGCCACTCGGAATCGTTTAAACTGGGAGAATGAAAGAAGAATGATGAAAAAAATAACACCACCGCCACCACGATCAAAATATCATCACAGCTGGGCCACTGGCGGAGCCAGTGGGGGGGGGGGGGGGGGTGGCATGCCCAATGATCCAATCGAAATCCCTAATTTCGATCAGATTATTGGGGTTTATTAGTAATACATCGGCATTTTGCGACCCCCACTGCCACTGTGTAGCATATTAGTACGTGCCAGGGACTATATGAGATGATAGGACAATAATCTGAGTCCGTAATTGGCAATAAGTAACGGCAAAGCGGTTATAAGTGACTCACAGAATTGTGCGCAGTTGCGTACACAGTACACGACTTCCCTGAAGGCATCAACACCTTCAGCGAGCGCGATGCCGATCGCACAACGCGGTTCGAATTCGACCCTCGATCGATGGCTGCGCGCCATCGCCGCACACGCGTCGAACAAAAAGCTTACTTACTAACAACTCCTCTATAATTTTTCATTGCTGGAGGGGTTGCCCCCCCTACCTGAAAATCCTGGCTCCGCCATTGACTGCTGGGCCTGCCTCTCATCCT